GATGATGATGATGTGTATCAATAGAACTGAATCTTTTAAATCCTATGTGGACACCCTTATAGACATATAACATCAGCTTTTATTAGTAACAGATACTAGGATTAGGACTTCTGTTTCGCACAGTTAATCTGCAGTATATTAAAGATTAAATAGAAATTTATTTGAAATAATTATAAATAAAATACCTAAAATAAAAAGTAGTAATAAAAAATTTAAATATGCAAAAAAATTCTAATTATTAAAAAAAGATTATGTTTTTTTTGAATTATTAACAATAAGTTCTAAATGGAAATGTACAAACTAATTATGATAAATATATGAAAAATTTTACAAATTTTCTAAGATTAATAGAAAAACTAAAAAACTGAAAAGTAATAAGATACACAAACTTTTAAGGTATTTTTTGTAGTGTTAAAAAGTTATATATGAAAATATACAATATAAAAATATAATACAAATATATGATCTTCTGAATTATTTGTATAATTATTAAAAATGTATATTTGTGAAAAAGTGTAAAGCAAAAAATCAATATAAGCAATCTTTCAAAGTTGTTTTTTTATAAAACTATATGTTTATAATTGAAAGATAGAGTCAAAGAATTATGATAAAAAATCATTTTTTAAAAAATAACCCCAGAAATATATATGATAAAAAAAATAACGTAACAAGATTTTGTCATACATTTTCTAAGACTACTATAGTTTTTTAAAACAAATTCGTAATATTAAAAGGTACATTAAAAATATATTAATTAAAATGTAAAAATAACTTTGATATCTTAAAATCACATATATAAAATATATGTCAATTTGTTACTTTACATAAATTTTTTTTACTGAAATTAGAAAAAAATCCAAATATTAGGTACCTTAAATTTATAAACAACTAATAAAAAATATTGAAATTTGAAAATAACACAATTAATTAAAAAAAGATTATAAAATATAGACGTCTATTCATTTATTGTGTTATTCATTGAAAAGCGTCTATATTTTAAAATTTATTTTGTTTTTCAATTTTTATAATATAATTTTATAACTGATTATTTTATAATAACACAATCAATTATAAACTTATTTTTTAGCATTTTAATTACAAAATCAATCTATTTTATGTGTTTATAATCATATATATTTCAATTTTTAACTATCAATTAATTTACTACTGATTAAAATCCTGTTCTTTTTTTTGCTAAATACACAACAATTCATTTTTTTCTTTCCAATTCCATTGATTTGCTTTTATCACTTTTATGAAATAATTTTTAGAATTTAAATAATAAATAATTTGGAAACAATAATTTCAAATCTAAATAGAATTTGTTTTCAAAAATATAATACAAATTTATTTTAACCGTTTACATCTCTTTTTTATGTACAATAAAATTAATATATATTTATATCAAAAAATATTGTAAGAATTAAACAAAATTAAAATTTACTATAATTATCTAAAAGACACATTTTTCCAAGTCTCTAAATATTTAGGGACGCCACTAAATCCCACCAAACACTTTTAAAAAAACATTTACAAAATTTCTATTAATTTTATAACTCAAAATAAATTTATAAAAAGAAATTAAATGATCTCAGATTGGGAACTCTTTTTAAAATTTCTTATTAAATGCATTATCCAACTAAAGAAAACCAAATACTATTTGTATCTATGTATATATACATACAAACTTATTGATGAACATATATATATATAATATTTTATGAAGAAATGCATTGTTTTAATGACTGTAATGGCGGCCATGGTAACAGAAGTTGAAGGACTTTCATGCATAGACAAGTGCGTGTTCGAGTGCGCACTAATCTTTATACCTGAAAAACGCTGCGAAGAGAAATGTTTCCACAAATGCCACATACCACCTGGTGTTTCCTCTCAACTATCAGAGTATATTAAAGTTCAAAAAAAAAAAAAACTATCAGAGTAATAATTTATTCACTTATTTGATTGAGTCCAGTTACTTTTTGTGTTTGTGTTTAAACTATTATGGTTGTCTCAAAGAGATTTTCCTATCAAACATGTATTAAACTCAGCATAAACGCATAATAATCATATTGTATTATTTTTGTTTGCAAAAATCCAAGATTAATAAAAATGTTATGGTTTGAGAATAAAATATCAACTCTTAAATACAAATACAAACTTGAATATTTACATTTGAAATAACCATACTCATATGAATGTATTGTATTATGTTATGTATATAGAGAAACTGACAAAATTTATATGGAAAAATTGCAGGAAGAAGACCATAAGAATGAGAAATATAAATGGATAAATTTATTAATAAAATAATTGATATATTTATAAACTCATTAAAATTTATAATTTAAATAAAAATGAAATTTTTATAGATAATGATTATTTTTATTGCATCTGTGACTTGACTGATTGATGAAATGTCATATGTCTTCAAACTATATTGTAAATAACCAAATTGTAGAATGTTATTTGCCAAATGGTTCGGATTTTAGCAAAAAAAAAATGTCCTTTTATTTTTATTTGATAATATTTTATGTCATAATTTTAAAACAATACATGCAACAAAATGTACTACCTATTTACAGAAAATGTCACATTTTGAATATCATACTTATCAACCCAAAATAGATTTATAAAAAAATATTAAATAATCTCAAATTATGAGCTTTTAATTAAGATTTTTAATTTTCTAAATAATCAAGAGACAAAATAATTTTTTTTTGGACAAGGACCATTTTAGTATGTGTAAGAAGAAACAAAGACTATATGAAAGCAACACGCAGATTCTCACCCAATTTTATTTTTTTTAGTAAGAAATATCCTTATTTCGTGATTTTGTGAAAAGTCATTAGGAATCTAAATAATAATTTGTGTATGCATATCGAGATCTGAATAATTCTGATTTTATATTATACTTTTTAAGTAGTATTTGGATAGCATTTATATATTAATTGAGAAATATTTTTATAGACGAACCTCGTTTTTGTAAATATTTACAGTGGTATGATTTTGTTGATGTGTTACCATCACACTCATTCTCAGCAAATATATAAAAATGGGCTTATGTTACTAGAATAATTATAAGTTTTACCACTCATATTAATTTGATTAAACAATAGTTTATATCATTTATTAATACATAATTCAGTATTTAATTTAGTAAGATATTCTATTTTTATTTCTTACCAAAATATATTACAAACTCTATAAATTAATAATATTGGGACTTTGATATTTTATTAATTTATAGAGTTATTATTTTATTGGTTTTAGATAAAATAATTTATTTATTAATAATTCATTAAAATAATATTTTCTTTCAAATCTATAATATTTTTCCAAATTTTTCATTATAAAATTAGAAATTAATATTCAAAATTAATTATAATATGAAAAATAATAATATACTCATATTTTAATAGATTATCATAATTATTTATTTATATAAAATTATTTTATACAATATTTATTAATTTATGATATTAATGGGACTATATTTTACATAGGTTTTAAAAAAATATATTATCTTATTAATCTATCGATTTGTATTAAATTTTAAACTAGTCAAACTCTGGACCGAGCAAAATTATTGATTTATCGAGTTTATTAATTTATCGAATAATAATTTTTCTACTGTATATCAATTATTTTTTTAATTATATTTTCTGCCAAAAATATATATTTTATCTTATTTTTACTTAAACTTATTTTTATAAAATAAGTAAATTATATCTTCCATATAGTAAAAAACTATAGATTTGGATGTATATAATATATTTAATCTATTAATTCAAGGGTTGTGTTTTCCATTCCCCCCTCCCCCACAACAAATTTTGAAACCACATTACTTATCAAAATGCACAATTTATTGGAATACTAAATCCAATATAGTAAGAAAGTAAAATATAGACCCAAATGATTTTTTTTTGCTGTAGTTTTTAATAGTATAAATAATTTTGAAAAGATATAAATAATAATTGTGATGAAAAAACATAATTATTTATAATGAAAAGATGCAACCATTTATAATAAACGCAACCACAAATTTTGAAATTACACAACTTTTTAAAGTGCAAGTGTCATTCATTCGGATTGTTATTATAAATAGATTTTTCTTTTATGTGGTTTGAATAATATAAAATATTTGAGTAGACACAAATTATCTGTAATAAAAATATGCAACCACACATCTTATCAAAATGCATATAGTCTATCAAAACACAACCCTTGAATTAATAGATTCTATTTCATAGAAAAGAATAATGACACAATTTTTTTATTTTATTTTACAATAAACCCACTATAGTAAGAAAGTAAAAGTTAGACACAAATATATTTTTTTCTGTGGTTTTGAACAGTATAAATAGTTTTGAAAAGACACAAATAACAGTAGTGATGAAAAAACGCAACCGTTGATTATGAAAAGATGCAACCATTTATAATGAAAAGACGTAACCATAAATTTTAAAACGACACAACTTTTTAAATTGCAAGTAGTATTTATTCAGATTGTTATTATAGAAGATATCATTTAATTAAAAAAATTTAATATGGAAAGTGCTAAACAAAACACAATTTTCTAAAAACAAAAATAAATTTCATAAAGTGGACTAATTTGTATTTTTACTGAATATATATTAAAAACCCATAAAACACTAGTAATTATATATATATATATTACTAAAAAATTAATATAATGAGGTACTAAAATTTAGGAACTATTAAAAATGTCTTATTTAGTTATGCTGAAGACCGGCCCTGCATGTAAATAACCATGAGAAAGAGAGAATTTTAATGCACATTACACCAACGTGTTTGTACATATACCATATCACAACTATAACTATAAGAATGAGAAAGAGAGAAATTTAATGTATTTTCCATTATACCAACGTTTTGTACATTTATTTATAAGAAAGTGATATCTATACATTTCCATTTTTTTGTTCTCTTGAATATCTTGATAACCACGTCTTTTTACACTTCGGGATATATATAATACACAGCCATTTTTTCACTGCCCTCTTCTGCAATTTTATTTGGTAAATTTCGATTTAACTGTTTTTATTTATTTTGGTTTTATTTTCTTCATATGCAGACATCATTAACTTCCATCATTCTTCGCCACTCTTCTTCCGCCGCTCTCACCTCCTTACTCCGCCGCACGAAGATATATCACGGCGGATGCGGATTCGGAGTTGGAATCCGCCGCAACTTTTATTTCCTCTCAGGGAGACGAGAGAATCCTCCAGATCCGAGAAAGAATGTAATCAGAGCCTTCCTTGCGCCGGTTCTCTCGTTGGACGACAAACCTAGCCTTGCGTCTAATGATGCCATCGGCACCGTCCTCACCGGTCAAGCGAACTATATGCGCGTCATTGTCCAGGACGTAGCTGACGACGGAGATGAACGATCGTATAAGATCGGATTTGAGCTGCTTTGCGTGGTGAGAGCGTTGCTGAAAAAGGTACGGAGGAGCGTTCTGGTTGGGGATAAGGTACTCGTCGGATCAATCGATTGGGTTGAGCAGAGTGGAGTGATCGAGAATGTGTTCGAGCGACGCACGGAGAATCTGGATCCACCGGTGGCGAATGTCGATCACTTGCTTGTTCTTTTCTCTCTGGATCGACCGAAACTTGAGCCAAACACACTCACGAGGTTCTTGGTTGACGCTGAATCCTCTGGGATTCCACTCACACTTGCCCTGAACAAATGCGAACTCATCACTGAAGGGGTAAGGAGAAATCCAGTTGCTCCTGTCATTACCTGAATTAGGAAGAAATTGCATACTTCATTACTAGTTTAGCATCCTTGATTAGAGCCATGAACTCATCACTGAAGAGGTAAGGAGGAATCAGTCTGCTCGTAGTATCTTTCTTAGCTACATCACCTGAATTTTGAAGAAACTGGATAGTTCATTAGATTAAGACCACTTTGCTGCTTTATCCTTTCATTTGCCGTTCTTGATTAGAGTAAGTAATGATCTTGTTACCAGGAATTGGAAGAAAATTTGCGTAGTTTACAACTAGTTTAGACCACTTGCTGCTGTTGATCAGAGCCATGAACTCATCACTGAACTCATCAGTAAGGAGGAATCAGTCTGCTCGTAGTATCTTTCTTAGCTACATCACCTGAATTTGGAAGAAAATGGATAGTTCACTGCTAGATTAAGACCACTTTGCTGCTTTATCCTTCATTTTCAGTTCTTGATTAGAGTAATGATCTTTGTTTCCAGGAATTGGAATCTTGGAGGATAAGACTGCGTGGATGGAACTACGAACCATTGTTCTGCAGTGTGGAAGATAAAGTAGGACTTGATGAGATTGCATTGATCCTGCGAAATCAGACCTCTGTGATTATTGGGCCGAGTGGTGTTGGAAAGTCGAGCTTAATCAACTATTTGAGAAGTAGATTTGGTGGTGACTTTGATGAGAAAACAGGGTTTAAGCCGGTAAGGGGGTTTGTTGGATAATTTCATTCTGATAGCTAAACTTACTTTTTCTTTACACCATATATCCTCATGACTTGGACCTTTTTTTGTCATGTTCAGAGATTAAGCCGAAGCAATAAAAACAAATGGTATGAAGATCAGGACGTAGGGTATGTTTCTAGAGGAAATGGTAAGCCGAAGCAATAAAAACAAATTCGAGATACATTTGTACTTTGATCTACACATATACTAAAGTAAACAGAGATATGGTCAAAACTCAGCAGCAACGTCACTGAACAGATACTAAACTGGAACCTGTGAAGGGTTTCATAGGCATAATCTTCATCTTCAGGAATTTACTCAGAGAAGTCTTAAACTGTGGAGCCTTTGTTGGAAAAAACTTGAATTTGAGAGCCTTCTTCTTCTTCTTCTCTGAAACAACAACATCCCTTGTTGATTTCTTAGAAGAAGCTCTTGTGATTCTCATCTTCATCCTCAACAAGAACGAGTTTACTCTCTCTTCACGACGCAAGAAGCGATGAAACACCAACTCAAACGCGCTTCCTCTCTCCTCAGGTTTCCTAGAGAAACAAGTCTCGATGAAGCTCCGTGCATCGCAAGGCAAACTCTCCGGAATCTCAGGAGCTTTGCCATCAAGAAGACGAGTCTTGAGATCATCGAGTCCAACGCCTTTCCATGGAACCACTCCTGTGTACATCTCCAGGACAAGGCATCCCACAGACCAAAGATCTAGGATTTTGTTGGCAATGCCGTCACGGAGAGACTCCGGCGGCATGTAGATCGGAGTCCCAACGAATGGAAAATCAATCTCCCAGAACTCAGGAACTTGTCCAACCCTCAACGAGTTTCCGAAATCAGATATCTTCACCTCGTACGGCGAATTTGAATGTCTCGTCGACGGAAACACAAGTAGGTTGTCCGATTTGAGATCGCAATGAACGTAGCCGTGACGGTGAATCGAGACTAAACCTTGAAGAATCATCCGCGTGAAGTCTTTAATCATCGACTCGGGAAGCTTTCTGTCGGCGGAGAAATTGTCCATGAAAGCGCTTAAACTGCCTTCGGGTGCATACTCGAGAAGCAACTTGTGGACTTTGTTCCCGTTAAAGCTTAAGCCTTGCTCCAGATTGTCCCTCAAGCATCCGATGATTTTCTGGTTTCCTCTGAGTTCGAGTAAGATCTCTAACTCTCTTTCAAGATTGTCCAAGTCGTCCTCGTAGGAGTTTTTCACGGCGGCTTCAGAGGAGGAGCCGTCGGGATGAGTGTATTTCACGAGATGGACATAGCCGTAAGAGCCTTCACCTAGAAATTTCACGAATTCTTCGCTCGATTGCATCGTTGATTTTTTTAGGGTTTCTGAAACTGAATCACTATCTGGAAAAACAAAAAAAAATGCAGCGGAAACAACAAATTGTGATTGTGATTGTGATAGAGAGAGCGAGAAAAAGGAAATTGGATTGTGGCAGAAGGAGAGATGAAAGATTTATAGTTTTAGTCTTTTAGAGTTAGGGTTCAATCGAGTGATCTGGACCGTTGAAAAAAAGGAAATTTGTAGCCTGAGATATGGAAAAATGGAAATCTTTAAAGTTGGGTTAAGTCGGCGACGTTTTTCTTTAACGGTCATTTATTTGTACCGTTTTGTGATTAGTGTATTTATTATTTAGCGTTGCATCTTTGTTGGATATGTAATTCTGAGAAAATATGTGTTGATTGCTGCAGGACAATGGTTTTGCTACATGCTCCCAAGGGACAAAGGCCACAAATCCACAAGGTGGATGCAATTTGAAAATTCTTTTCATCTCTGTTTTTGCGTTAAATCAAAATTTTGATTTACTTTTCAACTTCAACATTGTGATGGCCTCATGTTCTCTCTTTGATGTAACAATCAAAGACGGTGGTGAGGGAACTTAACATGCGGATGGAGATTGAGATTCAATATGCACCTGCTTTTAGATTCAGAACTGGTGCCAATTTCACAATGTAACAAAACCAAGATGCCTTTTCTCTCTTGGATCCTCAACTACACTGAAATATTAAATCCAAGAACCAAAGATCCGAAATGAAAAGAAGCCCTTTGAGATATATAAGACGAAAAGGCTGCATAACAACAGCCTCAAAGCCATAAAGGAGAACAAACATAGATCAAAACCATCATTCACCATCACAAGAACTTTCTGATTAGACCTTTACCCCTGCAAACGAAATCAGAAACTCCTTAGCATATGGAAAAGAATGGATACTTAATCAAGCCAGAGATCACCACACAGTAATGAGGGAACGATGATCAATCAAAACAAGTGTGAAAGGAAAACTCCTTTCTACATATCTTGACTATAAGTAACAAAGACAAGTATTTCACTGAACAAAAGGAAATTATGTAAGAAGAGAGCACCAAATAGATAGTGAAAAAGGCCAAACAAGTCTGAACAGAATGATGATATGACAGCAATTACAAGATTCCTGACACTCGTTAGAATTTGTAACACAGTCCTCTCAACATATTCTTGAATGGTAACACCACAATCACTTTTCTGATATCTTACATATCTTGAATTGACGACAAAAAAATGTAATGCACTAATACGCCAGAGATCATTAAAGATCACAAAACCTGAATCGCTTTAAACAGTGGAATTCCTGTGAAATGGTCAAGAAACGTAACCAATCCAGAAACAAGCACACAGATCAAGTTCAGATAATAATGGTCACTATCAGAATATGCTGAAAAGAGTGTATTTGTTTTTCAGGGAGAAGTAAGAACAGGAAAACAAACAGTATCATAACAGAAGTTCAATCTGGAAAACAGAAAAGCGAAAAGAAGCCAATGAAATTTAGGAACCAATGCAATCTGTTATTATTAGTTTTAACCCCCAGTCTCTTCTATCCAAAACCATTCAAAGTGTTAAACATGCACGCACGTGTTAATTTTGGCAGTAAAAAAGATCGAAAGTTGAAGAACTCTATCAAAGATATTGGTACCGAAAACATATCGGTATAACATGGAAGTTCAATTTCTATACTACAGGTCTAGAAAGACTAGAACTCTGTACTGGTTTCTTTTTTTTTTAGATGCCTATGGTAATCTCCCACTTTTTACTTGATTAATCATATTTATTTTCAGTCTGAAGACAAATAAGCATGGAATTTCAACTAGTTATATGATCCCAACATGCAATTTCAGTTTTATGAATTTGTATTTTTTCATCACTATCTCTACCAAATTCATTCATACCAATTGCAAACCACGCATTGAAAAGTCTAACTAATTTTAATAAGATATATGATATGAAAATACAAACTTTGGACGCAACAACATTTTCTTCTCTATTTTGAAGACAGCAAAGGTAACATAAATTTTTATCTCCAAATTCATTATAGTTTTGTCATACTTAAATATTTCAAAAAGAATTATTCGAATATTTAACACTGTAAAATATAAGTTTTGAATGAGCATGTTCACATGAACATTTGTTCCAGGTAAACTCATTCAGATCATATTTTTTAGTAAAGACAACTTTAGTAGATTTTATTCAACACATCATATAATATAAAAGTTGATGACATAGTGCATTGAAGGCGTCCACATGAGATTAAAAAACTCGATCTGATTGGTCCACATCAGCATATTCATTAAATAAAAAAATGTTAAGTATGATTAGGACGGAAAAACTTGATTTAATTGGTCCACATCAGCTTTTAAATCAAACAAAAAATTATTAAGTATAATTAAAACATTAAAAGTTAATTTAACAAATTATGTCCAACAAAAAAAGTAAATTCAATCTAATTGATCCAAATCAACATGTTTATTAAATCAAAAAATGTTAATATGGTTTAAAAATTTAAAAGCTAAATAAAAAATTAACAATTAACAATACATGTATAAAAAAAGTAACCATTATCAATTATCAATTTAAAAAAATCTACAACAATTCGATTTAACAATTAAAACAATGAAAACTGAATAAAAATATAACATAAAACTCTTGGAAGACATGATGGAGAAGGAAAAAATAGTTTTGAATGACCATTATAGCTTCCTAACAAAACTAGCTTGATTTAATTGGTCCACATCAACTTTTAAATCAAACCAAAAATTATTAAGTATAATTAAAACATTAAAAGTTAATTTAACAAATTATGTCCAACAAAAAAAGTAAATTCAATCTGATTGATCCAAATCAACATGTTTATTAAATCAGAAAATGTTAATATGGTTCAAAAATTTAAAAGTTAAATAAAAAATTAACAATCAACAATACATGTATAAAAAAAAAGTAACCATTATCAATTATCAATTTAAAAAAATCTACAACAACTCGATTTAATAATTAAAACAATGAAAACTGAATAAAAATATAACATAAAACTCTTGGAAGACATGATGGAGAAGGAAAAAATAGTTTTAAATGATCATTATAGCTTCCTAACAAAATTAAATGCGAATCAACATGAATCATTAATTATATATACAGTGGTACACAACATCAATAAGACTTTCAATAAAAAACTAAATATCTGAACACATAAACCTTCCAAAAAAAAAGAACTATATAAATTCTATGGAAAACAGAAAATAGTACCAAAATCTTAGCAAGATTATATTTCACTAAATCAAATGTATATGTACGTCAAAGTTGGATAATTCGACAGATGTCATTGTTATTATTTTACCTAATAGTTTTTTAAAATTTATAAATAAAATTAGGATAAATTACACATTATATATTAAATTCTCTTATATAAATGAAAATTTCTATAAATATATATAATTTTTAATAATTTTAAAGATTATAGCTAAAAAGAATAAACCAAAATATTAATACAGACTATTAATCTTTTGGTTTATAGCTATAAACCAAAAGATTATAGCTATAAAGTTGATGGCATAGTGCATTGAGGGCGTCCACATGAGATTAAAAAACTAGATCTGATTGGTCCACATCAGCATATTCATTAAATAAAAAATGTTAAGTATGATTATGATGGAAAAACTTGATTTAATTGGTCCACATCAGCTTTTAAATCAAACCAAAAATTATTAAAACAGTAAAAGTTAATTTAAAAAATTATGTCCAACAAAAAAATATATTCAATCTGATTGATCTAAATCAACATATTTATTAAATCAGAAAATATTAATATGGTTAAAAAATTTTAAAGTTAAATAAAACAAATAAACAATTAACAATACATGTATAAAAAAAGTAACGATTATCAATTATCAATTTAAAAAAATATACAAAAACTCGATTTAACAATTAAAACAATGAAAACTCAATAAAAATATAACATAAAATTCTTGGAAGACATGATGGAGAAAGAAAAAATGGGTTTGCATGATCATTACAGCTTCCTAACAAAATTAAATGTGAATCAATATGAATCATGGATTATATATGCAGTAGTACACAACATCAATAAGACTTTCAATAAAAAACTAAATATTTGAATACATAAAACTTCAAGAAAAAAAGAACTATAGAAATTCTATGGAAAACAGAAAATAATAACAAAATCTTTGCAAGATTATATTTCTTCAAATCAAATGTATATGTACGTCAAAGTTGTATAATTCGATATGTGTCATTGTTATTATTTTACCTAATAGTTTTTTAAAATTTATAAATAAAAATATGATAAATTATACAATATATATTAAATTCTCTTAAATAAATGAAAATTTCTATAGATATATTATATTTTTAATAGTTTTAA